GAGCTTCCCAAAATTATGGTAAGGCATCAGGTAAATCCAGCAAGGAAACACATTTCAGAGCTTCATACCTTATGTACTGGTAAGAGAGATGAGCAGCAGATACTAAGGCTTCATCAGTGTAACGCAGCTTGTGATGGATCTCATATCTCTCTCTAAGTCCCTTCAGAATCAGAATAGTTTCATCCACTGTCGGCTCAGGAACTTTGACAGGCTGGAAACGTCTTTCTAAGGCTGGGTCCTTTTCAACGTGCTTCCTGTATTCATCCAGTGTGGTAGCCCCAATACACTGCACCATTGTGATTGAATAACATTAACCAAGGTGAATGCATTGAAAACCGACTTTGCTGTGGGCTAACTGCTATTCTCTCGCTATAATCATTATTCAAATCAAGGAAAAGAAGATTCATAACACTCCATAAAAGAGAGTAAAGGACAGTGGTCGACTTGGCATAGAAAAGCTCCTTACGACAGAAGAGAAAGCCATCTTGTCCATTTTCTCAAGATTATTTACAACACATGGTACCCAAGACCAGAAAAGCAGTTTCCGCAAACTAATTCACCGTCATCAAACACAAGAGGGTGAAAGCTACACCAAGAAAGGCAAGCCATCCAAGTTTATTATAGTCAGTTGGAAGTTTTGACTAGTTTTGACTGCCTTGTATACCCGCCCACCCACAAGACAGGCCTGGGTAAGGTTCATCTCCAACTTTGCAGGGAAAACCTATCCTTTGCCCCACAAATCTCGAAATAACAGAGGGTGACTAGTTTTTTGGGATGAGAGCCACAGCGCCCAGGAGGGAGTTTTGAAGGCATTGGACATTCCCTTAGGTGAGGAAATTTTTGCTTCAAAGGCTTCTTTAGCTTGCGTGCATACACGGAAGAAAGTGGTAGAGTAGGATGCAAAGAGGTTAAAACAGAGCTCTGGGGGCACATGTCCTTCCAGAGGACCCACTCTTGATCAGGATCATACAGGAGGTGCTTAGCAATTTGCATATATATTGCATGCAAATAGTCGTCCACATGTGTGAAATTTTTTTAAAAAGCCAATGAACATGCTCTTTGCACAGTCTAAAGCTGCGGGACTCCAGCAGTGGACCTAACCTCTCAATTATCTTCATCAGGATAACCAATCCACAGCAGACTTAGAGCCAGATAGCCAAAAGTTTGCACAACCAAAAGCCACATATCAATGCAACTTACCTGCAGTTCACCTCGTGCAAGAGCAGGCTTTAGGATATTTGCAGCATCAATAGCCCCCTCTGCTGCCCCTGCTCCGATAAGAGTATGCACCTCATCAATGAAGAGTATAATTTCATCACTCTGTTTAATTTCCTCCATTAGCTTCTTCAATCTCTCTTCAAACTCTCCACGATACTTTGTCCCAGCAACTAGAAGACCCATGTCCAAGGTAATGACCTGAATCGCAATCATAGATAAACCTTTGTCAATTTATGGTTGCAAAGAGCTAAGGACTATGCCCGGCTCACTCATTGTTGGATTCAAACAATGTAGAACAAAATCAGATAGAGAGCATGATGTGACGGGACAGATTCAACATTGTCAATTCTATAGCACTTTCCCAGTTGTGCTCTGCTCAAGCTCATTGAAACCTGACTCTAAAACCCACAAGGGGCGATGGTTAACAGCAATGCAACACCATTGTGAAAGAGTAAACCATTTGCATACCTTCTTCCCTTCGATTGTTTCAGGGACATCACCACTCGCAATACGCTGAGCAAGACCTTCAGCAATTGCAGTCTTCCCAACTCCAGGTTCTCCGATAAGGCAGGGATTATTTTTGGTCCGGCGACCAAGAATTTGGACAACTCGTTCTATTTGCGGCTGCCTTCCAACAACGGGATCCAATTTGCCCTAGAAAATATGTAAAAGAAGCTTAAGAATAGCAGAGCAATATAATCACTTGGATAGACGGAATAACAAAATGATGACCAAAGAATCACCTCCTCTGCCATCTTAGTCAAATTGGTTCCATACTCCTCAAGCGTTGGCATTTTGTTGCCACTACTTCCTCCACCAACACCAGCACCAACAGCCTCGGTGCTCTCACCCACCATCCTAATGACCTATTTTCAGGATATATCAGTATCTCGCCCTTGCAAATACTCACAGCATGCAATATTGTCATAATATCAAAAGAATAAGCACATAATGCTAGCTTGCCTGAGTGCGAATGTTGCTAGGATCAGCACCCATGTTCTCAAGAACACGAGCAGCCACACCCTCACCCTCACGAAGCAATCCAAGAAGCAAGTGCTCAGACCCAATGTAGTTATGGCCTTAGGATTCAAGAGAGGCAAATTTTACTAGTTAGTTAGTACAAGATATACGTCAGGAAATATGCAATATTGAGTGGGGGGAATACCCTAGGAGTAGATAGACAATTGTAAAGCATCAAAGAGGAGAAATATCATACCTAGCTGTCGAGCTTCTTCCAGTGACAGTTCCAAGACTCGCTTTGCACGTGGAGTGAAAGGAATCTCCACAGCAACAAATCCGCTTCCCCTCCCAATTATTTTTTCAACCTCAACGCGAGCATCTTTCAAATTGATCCCCATCGACTTGAGAACTTTAGCAGCAATGCCAGTGCCTTCACCGATAAGACCCAGAAGAATCTGCTCGGTCCCCACGAAATTGTGACCCAGCCTCCGCGCTTCCTCTTGAGCAAGCATAATGACTTTGATCGCTTTCTCAGTGAAGCGCTCGAACATAGCCCTGACTACACCGCGGCTTGCCTTCCCCCTGCGAACGGAGATTGAATTTGCCACCCTCGAGTGAAAGTCGGGGCTTGTATTCAACAAACCGTCCAAACTGTTGGATCCTCTCAGACCGGAGAAGCCCCTCATCCTTATACAGGGAGCTTTTAGAGCGGACATCATTTTCACAGCTCTCCTCGACTTTGCAGAACCACTGGAGCTGCCATACCTCGGGCCAGACACTATGGCTGGTACATTCCTCGACTGCGCCAGGACGCCAGCCATAACTCCGACCAAGCTGCCTGTATAGGTGAGAATCTGTCGGCAAGCAAATTGCAAAGAAGAACAACAGTAGCAAATTAGAGCATAATTTGGGACGCGGAAAAGACTGATATTCATATTGTTGTCTTTCTCAGATGTTGCTGCGTTCAAGCCTGTGCCACGAATTGCTTCACGCGGGAGAGGGAGGGGGGGTGGAGGACAAGCTCAGGCTACCTAAGGGGGCTTGGTAGAAACAGACCTCGAGAGGTAGAAATTCACAATCAAATAGAAACATGCGAATGAATGAGAGTCAACATGTCTGTAATTCCGGCATTCATCATCATCAACATAAACACGACATGCCGGAACGAACGTAGCAACCAACGAGTCAGAAAGCGGGACGGCGTCCGAGCTAATGAAGCTGCTTCAGACCTGCAAGGAAGGAGATGGGGACAGAAGCAGAATCGGGCGAGCAAAGGTAAGGGCCAGAGGGAATCTAGGGAGCACCCCCACCGCGATGAAGATGGAACTCCAAAGGAGTAGGCGCGGAATGAATCGACGGAATATAGAAAGAGAGAGAGAGAGGGAAATACGGTGGAGCTGAGCTCACTCGTCAAGTCAGCATCCGGCGAAGGCGGAGCTGAGAAGGAAACCTTCTTCCCATAAATGGAATAATAGCTAACCCCAAAGTAATCAATTGCCCGGAAATTCAATTCAATTGAGAGAAAGGATCTTCACATCAGCAAGGGAGAGGCTTTACCTGAAAGGGCTCGACACTCTGAGAGAAGAAGGAGAAGAAGAAAGAAGAAGAAGAAGAAGAGGAGGAGGGAGGCGAACGTGATGATATTATATTATGATAAGGAAGGGGAAGGAGGGGAGGCGGCTTCGTCCGATGTCTTTTTTACTTTAATAAAAGATGTTACGGACGATCCCAGCAAAGGGAACGAAACACCAAACCCATCTTTGCCTTTTTGTCACTGTTGTTCTCTCCTCCTTCGTCTTCCTCCCTTCCCCTCCATTGATATTTTCTTGTTTCTCGTGAATTCTCGTCCACCAATCATCCCATCACCATCACCTGTTTCCTCATAATATCCCTTTGCCAAAGCCTTTTTCTTCTTTATTTTTTTTTTTAGAAAATTTTATAAACCTCTAACTCAAATTGCCCGTGATTTTTCAGTTATGTTAAACTCTAATTGACGCCGTGCGAAAAAAACTGATCAAAAAACCATGTTGCGTGCTGTTTCGGCCATTCCATTCCATTCCATTCCCCCCACCACATCCAAAGCGACGCCCCCCAGATATGTTTGGTCGACCCATTTCATTTCGTGTGCCCAAACAGGAGAGCTTTCGCATGGGCGACGTGGCGCGAGGTGAATTGTTAGTTTTGATGCGGCTCGAGCAGTGGTTTCGTGCACGGGTCATGATGAGTCACGACTGCACTGCATGGGGGTAGTAGTGGCTTCTCTATTATCATCGTTTCGAAAGAAATTAAATAATATGTAATAGATATATATTATCTCGTGTCAGAAGTGAAATTAAGGTGTACTTCACCCACCTTTTTAAGTGCAACTGTAAGTCAAAACTATGTTTTGCTAATGTTCTCACCCCCAAATCCCTAATTCTCACACCTACCCAGACAACAGAAGCGCTCCTTTCAGATTTTGGTTATGAGCACTAACATCAAACTATTATTGTCTACGAGACACTCTTTTAAAGGTAGATAGAAATTCATTCGATCAACGAGATGCTGCTCCACATCGGGAAGAGTTGTCCCCAATTGGCACTTGTGTTCCACGTGCTCAAATGTGCAAAACTCTAAGACTCTCAAATCACGTGTAAAACGCCTTGAAAGTTCCGGAATACATTTTGAGATGACGAGATTTAATTTGCAACGTGGCATCTTCACTCGAAAATGAACCCATGCTTTCATGACCTCGAATCGTTCTTCCTTCCGTTGACATTCAAAATACTACAAAGAAAGAAATCATCTAAAAGATCGATCCGTTATAACCTGTTCTCTGTGTATGTCAGAAGAACAAAAGTTCCCTTTCCTCATTGTCATGCCATAAAAGTACAGAAGGAGACCCATTTTTTCCATATAGGTTCACACGCTCAAAGAAGCCACATATACAAAATAGGGTTGAGCAGTGATAATCCTTTTTCTGTCTCTTTTCCTACACTTGGCCAACCACCTAATATCTGAAATTATCTGAGGCCGAGAAATACCGGGGGGGCTTTTACGAAGATTGAGCCTGTGAGAAACTGACTGGAACACCGGAAAGAAAAAAACCCAAACAGAAGGGCTCTCTCTTGCTTTGACTCACAGCATAGCATGGCTCTCTCTCCTTAGAGATAAAAAAGAAAAACTCACAGCATAGCATGGCTCTCTCTTGCTTTGACTCTTGCTCACCTCCTGCACCACCTTCCTCGTCAAAAATCCCATAAGCAAAAATTGATTTGCCGTCCTCTCCATCCATCCTCATTGAATTCGCAATGTCAGTGATCCAAATATCATCATTCATCCACCACAAGTACATTAGCAACAGCCAAAACTCACTGCATCAAGCTAATATCCTCCTCAAGAAGTGGATGACGTGCTTAAGTGGCACCCAATCACCATGAAGAGGTAGGCAACAACTACTCTTATCAAAAGTGAAGTCCATTCGCTGCAGAAGCTCCCCCAGTAGTGATCCATTTCAACTCCCCTGGCCTATTCAACATTGATCCATTTCAGCTCCCCCGGCCTATTCAACATTCATACATGCACAGATTCTCAGTTACACAAAAAATAAGAAATGTGAAAGACAAAATAGCAGGATAATGTCACCAATAGTCTCTCTACTTTTGCTCAAAATTTAAAACCGTCCATCTGCTTTTTTTTGGTTCAAAATGGTCCACAAAAAATAAGACATGAAAACTTGTTTGGAAAAAAAGGTGATGTGGAGTGTACATGTGGACTTTCAATTTTGCATCACTCTCTCTCTCTCTCTCTCCCTCACCTTCCATCAACATCTGCAGAAACTCGAACCTTTTTGGCAAAAATCAATGGAGTTCTTCCTTTTCACTTCTAAAAGACATCTTCAACTTCAAAACCCCTAGCTGACCTTCACATAAGCTCAATCTCTTATTGTTCGCAGCCTCAAGCTCGCTACCACGGTCACCTAAGTTTCGAGTTTTGTGGCCGTAGGCGCTAGATCCAGAGTGTCGTGGCAATGGATGATCAACCCACCATATCTCGAGCTCCAGCTCGCTCGTGGGCGCTCGAACTTCAAGCTCGTGGCACCCATGGCTGCTAGATCGAAGTATCGTGGCAATTAATGCTCAATCCATGGCCGCCATAGCCACAGAGCTCGAGCTCGCAGTCATGGCTACTTGATGCTCGGTCCGGAGTCTTGTGGCCACTCGAGCTTCAACGTCTCGCGACCATGGACGATTGGGCTCAAGGTGGCATCACGAGATGGCAGCAAGCGTCGGCTTGGTATAGGATATTTTTATTTTCCTATTTGGCCTATTATTTTGCAATTTTATGTGTTTTAATTTATTTAAATTTTTTCTACTCATTTAATACACATCAACTTTTGTGGTTGCTAACTCAACTTTCCGATGGACCATGTCAAAAACAATCACTCCGAAAAAATTAAGTTATTAACCGAAGAACGAATGGGGCAACTTCTCAAAAAGTACAGTGATGAATTTGGGGAAAAAAGAGGTAACATGGATGGTTTTGAATTTCGAGCAAAAGTAGAGAAACCACTCGTGACATCATCTCTAAAATCACTGATATGCTCCAAATGCAAACTAACATTGTAAAACCATCTAGATGCAAGAATCAATGGACAAACAGATTTGAATCAAGTGCAGGACAGTAAGCCTCAAACAAGAAAAGGATCGCATTGATTCTCTCCATGAAATATGACATGCATAACAATCCAACTTGCAATTAATTCCAAGGCGAGCAAAGAAGAGTTCCATACCTTCTCAAAAATGCCAAGTACGAACAGCCTCATTTTTCTCCTTTTCAATCTGCCGTACTTCTCTCTCAAGCTCTCTGACCTCCTCAGGAAGCTATAAGAAAGGAATTCTCATTAGCCAAACACATATGCGGAAGACATATCAGGCCACAATACAAACAGCCAATCAAATAAAAGAGTCCAAAATACAGACAAAATAAGATCTCATACAAGCACATACCCATGCATCTTGAAGCCAAATCTGAGGATTCCATTGATGATACAAACACGGCTTTGTGGGGGCAGAAAATGGTCACTGAAGCACAGAGGATATAGACGAAGATTATGTGTAGTCCCCGTGGACAGCAATGAATTTCAGCATCAGGGATCTGTAACCACACAGAAGGAGATGCTATCTCAGCAACTGATAAACTAGTCACATACGTATAACATTTATTCCCCCAGCAAGCAGGTTGGAGAAAAAAATTCCACAAAAGGAACTGGAAACCCAAATTAATGCCTCGGGAATTAACACATATCCACTCTGAAAAATCCATGCAAAAGACTAGAACAGTCAAGATCCCATAAATTTGAACAAAATGATTTAACAGGAATCCCCTATTTATATGACCATAAAGCAGATACCATATGGATGAAGTTGGACCTAATTAACCAATAGGCAAACAGGCGGAATACTTTAGGCATACCACACAGTTTATACATGGGTTTACCATCCCGTCGCAGATACCAATGAGCTTACTCTTTTGACACTGAAATTGGATGTCAGATTAAGGAGCACATCATACCGTTCCACTTATCATTGCTGAAAAAGATACATCCACCTACAAATATGTCACTGGATGATGCATTCATTTTCATCCATCATGAAGAGGTAGCAACAACAGCTCCGTACAAAGTGAAGCTGATTCGTTTTTGAAGCTCTCCTAACAGAATACACGCATTCAATTTCATGTACAATAGAGAGAAGAACCATACAATAATAAGTCCATTTATCCAAAACTGGAGAATGGAATACTTCAGATTCAATGCCTTACTGATTTTACAAAACCTCATCAAATAAAGGAGAGACAAAATTCCTTATCACATACCAGCTGAATTAGGCTCCTTCAGTGACTTTAAAAGACCTGACAAACAAAGAAAATCATATCTTATATAATGCCAGACGTCTAAACATCACATGGAAGGCATTAAAAAGAAAGAAAAGCCACATAAGACATTCAAAATGATTTGTCTAGTTCAGACAGCAAGAGGAGAATTTTATAATCTGGCATGGATTCTTTCACAAGCTAATTAGCTCAAGCATACAAAGAGATCGTTAACTTACAGACGTGAGATATGTTTTAACAATTTTTTGGGACAGACGCCGAAGGCAGCGTGTCCGAAGTCATTTTCTTTGAGACCGACCCTTTATCGACCATCAAATTGTCCTCATCCCTTGAACTAATAGTCCCTGGCCTCATCTTTTGAACCTCCTCTCTAGAATAAATAAACATCTTTCGGACAATGCCACAAAATTCCCTGAAACAACAAAATAAAACTGGTCAGTTAAAAGAACAATGGCATCAAGCAGATTGCCATCAAAATTGAAGGCCGCGAAACATAATCCAAAACATTATTCAACATAAACACTCACTGCCACGGGTCATCCCCAACAAGCATCATGTCATCCTCGTCATCAGTATATACAATTAGCCAGTTGCTTCTCGGATTCATCAACTCCCCACCAAATTCAAATAATCGATCTAATTCGGCCATCAGTTCATCATAATTGTTGAACTTGGCTAGGTCCACAGATCTACCAAGTGCAATCCCCTGCTTGTGAACCTGAATAAATACTTCATTAATATAAGAGAACTCAAAGAAGTCACCTTGCTTGGAAAAATCATTGGAGAAAAATGATAACCTTGGTACAACTTCTAGTTGAGCTACCCTGAACCCTATGTTGGACATCTCTGTTATGTGGTTGACTATTCTGGAACAGCTTCTCCTTCTCCAGCTCATTGGCAACCAGATCATCTCCACCGTTTGCCCCATTTAGTGGCTCTGTTGGCTGATCCAGTGGAAACCCATGAGCTTGACACGACGGGGAATGCCTATCGTCCATTAACACATTTGTCATGACAGCAGACTTAGGCAAAACAGGATTGCTGACCAGAGGAATTCCAAAGAGCTTGCAGTTGCCTTCCTTTGCTTTTATGGCTTGATGCTGTTGCGCCAAGGGAGACTTCGAGATTGACTCACTTGCATGAGGAAAATTAAAATGAGGTGAGGTGGGTGGACGCATCACCCAGTTCTGATGTGGCTGCTCAACTCTCTGGCCATGAACAACCGGATATTCATTCAACCCGCTATATTTACCAATACCTCGTGGAGAGTGCATATCATTTCCATGTAAAGAAGTGTTCCTATTAGATTCTGACAAGTAAAGCGATAGACTAGAAGGTATCATGGACCAAGAATTCCCGATTATATGAAATTTCCTTTCCTGATCAACTAAATGTTTCCTCGCTGGATTAGCTGCAGAAGATTGTTCAGAGGACAAGCTGAACCCACGGGAGACATCAGTATCTCCACCGAAACCTGATAGTAAATCAGCGCAGGTTGGCCCCCTCCTGCCTGAAGTCATCCAGCTCTCAAGCCCATGTCTTTTAGAAGAAGAAAGCATATCAATCTTTTCTTCCTCCATTGAAGATGGAAACATTACAGACTTCTCCACAGCATCAAAATCATTATCGGTGGCAATTCCTCTCAAGGTCGACGATTCTGGACCTTGCAAGACCCTCGAATGCCCATTTGAAGATAAAGGGTCTGCAGCTACTTTACATATATAACCTGAACAAAGTCAGTCAACAGGCCCTGAACCTAGAAATTTATGGACATTACACGAACAAGAGCAATAAAAGCTGTACCTTCCCTAGTAAGAACAGAAGATTCAGGAGACGAGGGCAAAATGCTTGACCTAGGCCTTTTAGGCCTGGAAACTGGAAGAGGGTTTAGTGCAAGAGGAGCCAGAGCAGGTTCTATATTCCAAGGTGATACTCTATCCGGACGAGGTATGGCAGAATTCTCATCCCATCTCACCTGAAAAAATCGCATGGATTTTAAATGGGAACCATGCCAGCAACACCATATAGGCCAGGGATCAAAATACTACCTTGAGATTTCTCCATTTTGAATCTTGCCACCCTTTTGGGTCAGCATCTTCAATGCCGACTATTGTTCCAGTAAACCTATGTGATTTTGAAATGCCCAAGAAAGAGAAATCTTAAAATCAACCATTCAACAACTTAATAAGTCACGCACATTAACAATATCAACCGACTCATCTTGCTTTAGTAAATTCTGAGACCATTAGACACACAAAATCCTCACTGCTAGCCATGTAAGGTCCTAATGTCAACCAGAGAATACAAATACAAGAAGTAACAGATACCGAATAAGGAGCAGAATCTCAGGCATTGATGGTGTGTGGGGTGGGAGGGAGAGAGAGATTAGATTTTATCCCTATTCATCGAGACAAGCAGATATCGTATTCATGCAGTGACACTGGTACTTTTGGCCTTGAAAGCTGAATCCACATATTGTCGTTCTTAAATATAGCCACAACATTGAAGAGAATACTTAAGATCTCATTTGGAAACAAGTTCTATACCTCTGCTCCGGAGCTTCTTCCCCTTCAAATCTCATTTTGAATCTCATTCCAATAAAGTAATTCTTCTTGAGAGACTCCATGTACTGATCATAAGGGATGATGAACTCAGCAGGGCTTATCCTAAGACAACATATTTGTCACAAAACATTTGGTTAAAACAACATAACAACAATAAACTTAAGCAACTTGACAATTTTGCTTGCTCCATTCAATAAAGAAAAGGGTCAATAATTTGTAGACTACTGAAAAATCTAAATTGAACGTGACTGGTCCAACCATGTAAAAGCCATATTTGTTGCTAGACTTTGCTATAGCAAAACCATTAACGAGGGCAATTGCATATCTAAGTATATTAAAAAAATGTCAACCACAGGGCCATACATATTCTAGAGCAGACTGTCAACTACATTACAGTGTGTTCAAATATGTCAAAAATTGGAAAAAAAAATGTCAAAGCAAACACAGTTATCTCACAAAACTGTTAAAGAAGCAATTTCTTTCCATCTCACCCTATACAAGGTAGGAGAAAATATTTTCCGTCTCCCTCCTCCACAAGGGACAACAGAAGTAGGAGATTTGGGTATCATATGTCAGTGCATCACCTGATACTCTTTTTCCCCCTTATTTTAAGGGGAGTGACGGGCATAGGTTAACAAAGTTGGTCAACCGCATGCATAAGATACCAGGACTATCCTCTGGTACGATCACACCTCATTTCTATATATAAATATGAAGCCCATAGACTCTTTAAAGAAGCATACGACAAGAGAATCCCAAACCTATGCTAGAGTCAAAATTGCAAAGCTGGTTAAGCAAGCACCTCCATGAATTGAAGCATAAAGCATAATGTTCGAACTGACCAGTTAATATCTGCATCTAGAACAAACTATGAAGTACAAAGTTATATTTGGCTTAAAAAAAATTCAAATCACAAATTCTAAATGGAAACCGAAAACTTTCTTCTTGACCATATGTACATACAAGTATCCGATGCAAAGTACTGACCTAGGTTTGTAGTAAACAGTGAACATAGTTCCTGTAGAAATGGCATGCCATGCAGTAGCAAGGACACCAAGATGCATGCTGTGACTAGATATGACTGATGGTGAAATGTTGGCTTGCTGTCTCATAGCTCGTCTAACACCAACACGAAGTTCCCCATTTTCGCCCCTGTATTACATACATCAGTGATGCCTGGGTTTTGATGCCACAAAAACCATAGAAAAATTTCGACCAAAAAAAAAACCATAGAAAAATAATTCTGAAGACAATACAGCCACCTTAGGAATATAAATGCATCCCCGGCAACAAGTCTTTTGGAGCTCACAAAAACACTCCAACCACTTTGCAAAAGGTGCCTCTTCGGCTGGCCTGGCAATATCATACCAGATTAATAGGGTTAACCATGATGAGAGGGTCAACAAATTTGGTTTAAAGGCTGATAAAAGCTATGGTATATTGATGCAATAATAAACCCAAACTCGGAACAATTTCCCAGCACATTTGATTAGGGGGTGAGAATTTTTAGCCCAAATACCATGTATATGGAACTTAGCATTCATGTCAAAGACAATTTCGAGCAGCTAGGGCTATTAATAGCCAAGAATCATAGTCATCGATTTGTACCCCGGAATATATGCCGAAAATGCCATTCATTCCCATGCAAATCCTTGGCGACTAGTTCTTGTGTAGGAGGTTGCTTGGACATGTCCTGTGAACGTTAGGGCGAAAGGCAATAAATTAGTGAGCGTGCACGGATTGTTTGGAAGGAAAGAAGTTCAGGTTCTCCATATCATGAGCAGGTCGACATCCTCACCAGGGGTGGAAGGCATTCATCCGCATGACGTCTCAACACCGAGAATCCACCGTGAGTGCTGGTGTCCGAGGCAGTCAAGGTCTTGCAGAAAGAATGCACCTTGAATCTCGGAGGAGGCGGAGGAGGAGGTTCTTTGTCCGGGGAGTTCTCATCTTGCTGAAATTGAAGAAGCAGGTCAGCTCAAATATAAGGACGAATATACTAGAATAATGCCCATCCATCGATACAATGGATCATCACTTACGTTTGCCTCGGGAAGCAAGGTCATTTGCGCAAACACCTCGTCAGTGTCTGGCTCGGCCTGCAAAGCCAAGAGAATGAGGTAAGCGAACGGAAAGCAAGCAGTCGATCAAGTCAAAGTTGAGTGGATATTTGCCAGGAACAGGACATGAATGAAAAGGGGGGGCTGATGATTGATACCAACCTTCAATTGGACGTTGATGACACGACAAAGGATCTTCGAGGGAAGGTTATAGAGGGGCATCTGCTGGTTCCCGACCTGATTGATGGAGGCCTCGACCTGAAACCAAACTCGAAAAAAGTAACATCAGTTGAGTTGGTCATAAACAAGCACTACTTGGGGTTCATCATCAGAGAAAGACCCGTGTTCTGGACTCCACACACACACACACACACACACACACACACACACACACACACAGAGGGAGGTGATTGACCTGCTCGATGTGGCCCTGGGGAAAATAGAAAACACGCTCGCCTTGACGAGGGACGGCGACGAGAGGACCAGCGCAGGCTTGCCAGAGCTCGTTGTAGAGCGCGGTTTCAGCATCTGCCAAAGTGCAAAAAAAACACGCAACTTCACAATCAGTTCACAGATCTCAAGCAGCACACCTCGACCTCGCCGGACAAAAGAAAGCAGGAATTACCAGCTCGGCCCTCTACCCTGGCGTTCCCGGACGCCATTTCTCTCCGGTCGCGGCACAGATCTCTGGTCTCCCGCCAAAACGATAGTCAGACAAAACGGCAAAAGACACACACAACCCCCCCTGAGCTCTTCACTCGGCCCGCTCGGTCAGTCCATGAACCGAGGCCGCTCCGGTTCTTCACGACGAGGTCGAAGGAGAAGCAGCGCAGTCCCACTAAGCGAAAAGGGAGAGAAATCGAGGTGGGACAGGGAGGGTATCAGGACGGAAGGGCTTGTGCTCGGAGCCCGTGGTGGTGGTGGTGGTGGTCGTCCTCTGAATCAGGGAACCAACCCGCATCAAAAGGAAGAGGAGACAACGCAGACGAGACCGCGAAATCGCCGGCGATTCGTTCCTCGAGAATATGGGAATCGATGGTCTCGCGTGTGCTTTTTGCTGCAGGTTGCTTGCAGTTGCAGATGCCACTACTAGAAGAATCGATCCAACTCGCTCTCTCTCTCTCTCTCTCTCTCTCTCTGAGTTGCAGATGACTCGAGGGGGCGGTGGGGAAGGGGGACGCAATTATTCAACCGCGGTCAATTCTCAACCACCCTCCCGCTGACCGGCCTTCGCCGGTTGGAGTGCTTTATGAGACCGGCTGCAGGCGGTGGAAGCCGTAGGTTGCTTTCGGGGCGCTGTTTGTTGTTGTGCGCATGTCGGGGTGTGGTTGGCCAAGGGGCACGCAACGATAATAATAACAAGATATAATGTGGGGGGAATTCGGGTGGGTCCCCCCGTTCGTTTTGTCGTGGGAGCGACAGGCAAGTCGGAGTGTGGTTGGGACTCCTAACCGGGGTTACTTTTCCCCACTCTCCTTTTCCTCGCTCAGGATCCTCCTCAAACATGAAATGCATTCTCAAAAGCCATCGCCATTGCCACGTCACGAAATCTATCCAAACGCCATATTAAAAGAGATGGCAATATGCATTGAATATTAATACGTGCCTCGTGCATAGTTATTGGTTCAAACGGTGCGTGGCCCATGATGCGAAACTAGTAACTTTGTGACGGATGGATGCAAGGCTGCACATCACGGGGTGTGCTCTGTAAGTGTACAAAGAGGATCGCAACGATGGAGCACGTGATGGGGGGTGCTCTGGCAAATGGCAATGGCATCCATCCCCAAGCAACTAAAATGGGCGTCGTGTCGCGAGGGGGGCTATAAAGCGGAAGCCATTTGTGAGCCAGCAAGGGAGAATCCGAGCGCGTGCACGCTGCCACTTTTTGCTGCTTCTAGCATTTTCACGAGCCCATTGAAGGGACAGGAGAGAGAGAGGGACATTTCAATGGGAGAGGAGGTGGACCCATGGTGAAGAAGTTTTCCGACTCGTTTCACGAGCCCAAGAGAGAGGATTTTGATTTGTCACGGGACTGTGATGCGGCATCGCAGCTCCTCCTGCCGCTTGCCAGCGGTTTGACTGGCAGGTGAAGGGAGGGAGACACGCTGGGACCAGGGCTCCGTCCCTGGATTTCTGCTCCATAATTAATATCATTCAGGACAACATTATTTTAGCCCCAAATTATACACAAAATAAAGGAAAAGGCCTTAAGTAGGACCCTCTATGGGGTTAGATTGCGCGGGTGTCCGCTCTTCAGCTTACACTAACCCGATGTTACGGGGGGGTCTTTCACCTTTCCTTTGGCTCCTCTCTCTTTCCCCCGAACCCCCAAGCCCGACCAAAAACAAGCATACTTTCCTAATTAACCCAAACGTAATTTCACGTCACAGTTTCGCGACATTACAAGTCACGTATGTCACAAAAAAGGGAATTCATGGAAATTGAATGAATTTCAAGTTTAAATATCAAATGTAATGACAGAGACTACATCGCGTTCCCTCAAAGATACTTGTAACTTTTACCTACAACTTAAGTGTATTTCGACAAGTCGAATGGAAAGTTTGTTTAATAAATCCTCATCCCAAATGTGTCGTTGCATCGTTCAGTAAGAAAAGCCGGGGTCAATTTCACTGACCATCAGCTCTTTTCATTAGAATTTTTCAAATCTGATTTTCCATGTTCCCTTTTTCCGTGCCTACCACACGCATACATATGTATCAATTCGAGCCCACGCGTGACGTGTAGAACGTATACAAAAGGGAATCAGAAGGATAAGGAAGAAAGTGAAAGGATTCGTCCTTCGACAATTCACGGCTAGCAAAGGCTAACTCATGCAAGCAAGCAACTTGTGAGTCATGGTAAGACAAGACAAAGTAGGAGAAGTAAACTACATTTAAATGGTGATAAATCGGGTTCCGATCAGACCAGCAGCTCCACATCATCTTGAATCTCCTCGATCTGCTTCTACGTGTCTCGTTTCTCATGTGACCAAATAGGATCTTTTAATTATCTCCCCGTACCTCCTCGAAGACGGCTGAGTAGTTCCACCAAACCGGTTTAATATGAAGATTAGGAGCCATCATCACGTTCATTATTCGGACAATTTGGACTAAAACTCCCAATTGAGACGACTTTGTCCAAGTCAAACCACCTGAAGATAAGCTTTTGTATTACTTAGAATCGAGGGCCAAAGGATCTGGATTGAACATTATTATTATAAATTCAATGTACTTGGGTACACGCACGTCATTCTTAGAATGACTTGTGTGTACTCTCTTCTCTCGTTTTCAACGACCCTATAATAGTAGCCAGCCAAGGACCGTGTCTACGTGTCTCAAGATCTGTGATCGACCCTTTGAGTGGACCGTCCACCAGAGCAATTTCAATATGTTTATCATGGTCAGCTCCAAAACATGGTGGCGTGGGAGAAAGCAAATATATATCAAGACATTATCTAGATCATGGTCGATCCGTGAATTTTGGCCAAATTCCATACTTGGGATCGCGGGGTTGGAGGAGAGCTTCCTCGATCCCAGCAACACAAAAGTGATTGTTAATTGCCAAAGGTCAAGGATAGCCCACGACAATCACTAGCATGATCGCACTTTGAATTCAATCGCCGTCACCGCCCCTATCCATTTGCTTAATTAATTCACATATAGATCAATCTAGGTGCCACCTCAGTCTACACCATACCGTTCAATTAAATTCTCAATTATATCTGGCGTTTGGATGGCTTCCATCTTCTTCTTATCTATAGTTTTAGGTTATATTAATCTATCTTCATTATCTCTCCCCGTGTCAATCATCGACATGTCTCTACTCGACCCTTAATACCGAGTTGTAGGTAAGCTGGAATAGCTAATTATGTAATTACGTATGATTGCAGCACGTTTTGAATTATTCTTCAATTTGAACGAAATCTATAAGAATATATGAGAGGAGGGTATTGGGGGTGAACGCTTGTCGCTCGCCCGAGCTCTCATTGTGTTATTTTCTTCATTTTGTATTCACAATCCATCTAATCTTTTCTTTTGGTTTATTTCTTCTTTGGATTAACAATTTAACCACTTTTATCAACAAAACTACGAGCTATACTTTATAATGTTCATGTTCATAGATGTTTTCATAAATTTTCGCCTTTTCTTTTTTCTTAATTATAGAGTTTTCTGAGAAAAAAATTGTTTAATGTTATTTTCAATCTTTAGAATTCATGTAGATTTGTCATTCTCTTTAAGCACGTTTTCTTAAATTTATTGCATACAATAATTTGTATGCTCGGTTCCGGATACTATCAAACCGGAAAATTACTTACCGCATGGAAAGGGATACTTAAATATTGAAATATTGTTAGGATTTGGAAATGACTCTGGATATTAACAATTGTTCATCTTTGTTTGCATTTGAAGTGTTTGATACAATATAATTATTCAATATCATGCGTATGATTAACATGCACTTCACAAATTAAACGGCGAATTGAGTTTGGGAACTTAACCAGTAACAAGGTAAATTGTATTGAAAATATATCATCAGATTGCTAACCATTCGTCACATGTAATTGGCCCTCGTGCTCGTATACGAAACGTTATCGATCAACTTAACCATTGCCCGTGCACTCTTATTATTTCATTCATTCTCCTAAACAAACAAACCTTTCTTTGACATAATTAAAACTCGAGTAAGAGCTCCATTTGCGTGAGACGTTACACTGTCCTACAATCCGGTATGTTGCGATTTTCTTCTCCTCTTTCTTCTGAGTTTTCCCGATTGATTAATTTTATATAATTTAGTGACTGGGACAATTTAGTTTGCACGAAGTTGAATTCCTTCTAATCAAATGGTCAGTGAGACGTGTGAATCACAATTAAACAATCAGTCTTTGAACTGCGCAATTCTTAAGATCATTGATTGTGGGGTAACTCTCAAACAGTAACTTGAGCGTGTATTGATCTAAATCACCCTTTTTTTTTTTACCTTGGAAAGTGAACTGTGCTTCTGACTAGGGGTGTCAACAAAACCCGGGCTGGCCCGGCCCGGACCGCCCCGGCCCGACTCGACCCTAAAATTTGGGGTATTTTGGGGTCGGGCCTCAACCTGGCCCTAAAATTTGGGGTATCACAGGATTGGGGGTAAAATCGGGCCGACCCATTGACACTCTGGGCCGACCCATCTGAGCCATCTCCCTCTCTCAGTCTCTCTCCCATTCTCTCTCCCCTCTCTACGCGCAGAGCGGGATGAAAAAACCCTAGGTCTATCGGCGACGAAATCGAACGCCTCCATCGCCGTCTCGCCGGAGCTCGCTCGTTCGCTCGCTTGCTCAGATCTCTCCGCTTCCGCCGACAGGGTCATGTCCTCCCGAATTCATCTCTCTCTCTCTCTCTCTCTCTCTCTCTCTCTCTCTCTCTCTCGTCTCTGCGAATTGTCTGCAACTAGAGAGAGAGAAATGGTGAAGAAGACGAATCGCGGCAGCTATGTCGGTCGCACTGCACGGCGGCCGCGGGGTAGAGGTCGAGCCCCCCGCGTTCTCGATCGGTGCCGCCCGGCCCTCGGCCTTCGATCTGCCGGAGCTTGACTCCTCCGGCGGCGAGGGGGGCGCGGCGGCGCCGACGTGAAGCGGCTCATCGTTGGCGGGGTTGTCCTCGATCGGGAAGGACAACGACGACACCGGGAACCGCTCGTCGGGGGGAGGAGGAGGAGGACAAGGAGGAGAACGAGGTGCAGAGCTCTTACAAGGGGCCGCTGGAGATGATGGACACGCTGGAGGAGGTCTTGCTTATGATGTAAATCGATCAAAGCTCGTCGATTTAGTCGATCTCTTAGGGGACTGAGAGCTTACTTGAGGATGGGATTGGGTTTAGATCGCTCTGTGCTGCAAGTCTGATGCTTACAGGAGATTCTCATCGGTGGGTGTCGGAAGAATGTTTCATAGATTGTTGTCCCTCTGTATCAAATTCATCTCTCTCTCTCTCTGGTCTCTACAAATTGTCTGCAACTAGAGAGAGAGAAACGGTGAAGAAGACGAAGAGGAGGAGGAGAGAGAGTGGGAGAAAGGTGTGTCATTGTGTTTGAAGAGAAAAAAAAAATCTGAAACCCGACCCGGCCCTGACCGGCCCGACCCGGCCCTTGGGGTGTATGTTGAACAGGGTCTTGGGCCGAGTCTGGGCGGGTCAAGCGCAACCCTATTGTTTTGGGGTCGGGTCGGGTATCATGAAAGCCCGACACGATCCGATCCATTGACACCCCTACTTCTGATCCCCCCCCCCCCCCAAACACAAAAAAAAAAAGCGAACTGTGCTTTTATACTAGGATTTGTACCTCCCCTAACCCAAGAGAGATATTGGTCCCATTTAGTCCAACATTCCAAATGGGGCTTTGGGGCTCTAAAATTCTTCGGATCGTTTTTGCTCAACTTTGGACAAAATGCAATTGCATTTCCAAAGCCCTCTAAGGGTGCGTTTGTTTAACGAAAAACGTAATATTTCTTGGCAAATGTTTTCCGGAAAATCATTTTCCAGAAAAATGGTTAATTTTCATTTATTTAGTGATATGTAATTGAAAAAGTTTTATGGTGTTTGGATCTCATATGGAAAATGATTTCAAAATGCGTTTGTTTCGCCAACCCATGCTTGTGGCCGGTCGCTGAAGCGGAGGGAGGAAGAAGGAAAAAGAAAAAGAAAAAGAAAAAAGAAATAAAAGAAAAGAATAAAATAAAATATTAACAAATTCAAGATGAGTAATTCTGAAAAGTATTTTCATTTTCTTAGATTAAGAAATTCATTTTCCTAATTTTATACATGAATATTTTCCTTGATTGAAAAGTGTTTTCGGTTGGCTAATCATTTTCGGCGAACCAAACGAGTGAAAGTCCGAAAAATGGATTCCCGGAAAATATTTTCTGTGAAACAAACAGAGCCTAAACGAAGGGAGAAGTTCCTATCAAATACTAAAATATGAGTCCTCTTATTTAAATATCCGATTACAAATTATGACATCACTTAATTGACCACCATCATAAATCATTCTATACTCTAGCATTACTTTTTGTCTTCATCTCCTCTCTCTAAATTGCGACGCCAACGTGAGTATAGTTTGCACAGCATAGCTTTGGTCGTATTCAGCTTCGAAATCTTCCATTTGAATATCTTCAGTGGTTCTGAGAGGAAGAGAGTGGGACGATGGCCATCTTCATGGCTGAGAATCCATGAATACTCACTTTTCGAGTTCTAGGTACTTTACACATATTATCTGACTGTTTTCTAGTTACTATCGAACTCCAACCAATGACTTCGTTTTCACGCGTTTGTCAACCTTTGGATGATTCTTGTCGTTGCTAATATCCTATCCATCGTGATCGTTTTGGCCCCAGTGTTAGTTAACTCTTTCTCGCTCCGTGCACGCTGACAGTATAAGGTTTAGGACTTAATTTAACTTTTTTTTGGCAGGCCGACATGTTTTTAGGGTATGCAGGAAGGAGGTCAACTGAAGGGTTTGAATCAGTTCCATACGTGGTTTCTTTGTTTAGCGCCATGCTTTGGCTATACTACGCATCCCTCAAGTCCGAGTCCAACGCTTTCCTACTCATCACGGTCATCTCGGTCGGATGTGTCATAGAGGCCATCTACATCGCTCTCTACCTTGCTTATGCTTCTAAACAAGCCAGGGTATTCTACGTACAAAGTTGTTCGCGAGGAACAGAGTTAGAAGTAGTTTAATTGTTGCAGACTGGATGCAGATGCTGACACTGAGGCTGCTGATCCTGCCGAATTTTGGAGGGTATTGTTCCATTCTCCTTCTCTTTTACTTCTTGGCAAAGGGATCGACGAGGATCCAACTTCTTGGGTGGATATGCATTGCGTTCTCCATTGCGGTCTTTGCTGCTCCTCTAAGCATCATCGTAATTACTAATATGTGACTCCTTTCTCTTTTCTGCAACACAAGTTGTGCATGGCAAGCATTTAGTTTTTGACGTACATGTAAGTTTATATATGTGCATGTAAGAATATGACTTGATGGAAAGCTAGGTGGAGGAAAACCTGGGATAAAAAAGTGTATATTGCTGTCTCATATCGAAAATGTACGAATACATCCCTATTTATATTACAAAGGGCTTAATTAATCTAGGGAAGAAATGTACAAAAAAATCAATTTCCTGATATACAATATCCCAATAAATCAATTAAGGACAATCGTATCAATTTATGTTATCAACAATATCTTCAATATCTTCATCGTATCAATTACGAGGCAACGGTATCTTTAACACTCCCCCTTAAGTTGGTGGCCTGTACACATCGAGGACACCAAGCTTGCTTAGTAGATACATATGTTGCCTTTGACACGAAGGTTTGGTGAAGCTGTCTACAAGGTGCTCTATCGTCTGGATTTCCATTGTCTTAATCACTCCATCGTGGATTTTGTCTCTGATGAAATGACAATCAACTTCTACATGCTTCATTCTTTCATGAAAAACTGGATTCATTGCCAGCTTGAGCGTAGCATCATTATCACAAAACAGAATCAATGGTTTCCTCACCCATATACCGAGATTTCGAAGCAATCCTCTTATCCAGACAATTCCACAGCCAGTCTCTGCCATTGCTCGATATTCTATCTGTACGGATGATGAGGAAACACTTTTCTGTTTCTTCGTTTTCCACGAGACCAGTGAGTTTCCTAATTTGATGCAAAACCTCGTTACCGGATTTCTACTCATAGGGCAAGTAGTATAATCTGTCACAATATGCCATCATTTTCATGTCGTTCTCTCGAGTATTCCCAATATCGGACATCCTTTCAAGTACTTCACTACTTTCAATACAGCATTTATATGGAACTGTTTTGGACCATGCATGAATTGGTTGACGATTTGTACCACATAGCATATATAGGGTCTGGTCATGGTGAGGTAGATGAATTTCCCAACAAGTCTTTGATATGCTGAAGGATCCTTGAGTAAGGGGTCCTCATTCACCGGTAACAATTCCTTGTCATATTCAGCAGTTGTCAACTTAGCATTATGCTTAATTGGAATAACAAGCTGGTTTGGAACTGGATAATCCTGCTGCTAATATGCTTTCTACGACAAATTTGCGTTGACTGAGACAAATTCCTTTATCTGATCATGCAATTTCAATCCCAAGAAAATATTTGGGGATCCTAAATCTTTAATGTTAAAAGTGGAATGCAGGTACTTCTTAAAATCTTTAATGGCAGACTCATCATTCCCCATAATCAATATATCATCGACACGTATCAACAAGTAGATGGATGATGTACCGACTCCATGTGAATAAGGCATAATCGTGTTTTGACCGCTTGAACTTTGCAGCTGTGAGTGCACTGGTAAATTTAGCATACCACTGACGAAATGCATTTGAGTCCATATGGGGATTTGCGGAGACGACATACTCAATCCTCCCCCTATCCCCGTAGTTCCGGTGGAAGATGAAAAGCACTGTGAACGTCCATCTGATGTAGAGGCCAATCACGAAGAAAAGAATGAACAGTGACTTCCTTGGCTATCGGAGAAAATGTCTCCTGATAATCGAAGCCTTCTCGCTTTGTGAATCCCTTGACTACCTAGCCTTATATCGCTCAACAGACCCGGTCCAAGAGTATGTGAAAGAATTCATTGAATGGATGGACTAATTGTGGGCACAACTCGAGCTCAAGCGAAGGGACGTTCGAAGTATCTCAAGGGCGCTAACCATAGCTGAGTCTCTTGCCACTTCACCAGAGTCGAGTCCTCCAAGTCCAAAGAGAATGAACGGAAACAGGGTACCATCTTCTTTAGACTGCATCGCTAAAGAAGCATGGGTAAAACAGTGAGAATAAGTAGACCCAAGGCAATTGGCGTACCTGGTGCAAGGCTAGAAGCGATAGGCAAGAAGTCGAGTAACGAGTTGAAAAAAATATACTTGGATAGCCAGAAAAGCAAGAAACCTACATGCTCATTAGCAGCAATCGGGCTAGATGTTCGGTAAAACCTATAAAATAAAAAAACCTAACGTAAACAAGGACATTATCGGGTTTAAGAGATTCGAGAGGGCCAATATCCTTTACAGGTACGCCATTGGGGAGAAAACCAGCTATAGCATAAATGTCTAAAAGAGTGATCGACATAGGGCCCCAAGAAAAAATGAAGCACTTACTCGATGGAGACCAAAAGCTTATGGCAGCACCTAAAAGCCCCAAGTCCAAATCACAAATCAGACTACTAAGTTGTAGAGTAGACTCAATCCCAACCTTTTTCCAAGTATTCGAAGATCATCTTTCATCCGTAGGTACCATATGTGGAAGTCTGCTTCAGAAGAAGGAAAACCTCGGATACAAGAAGGGTCGGTAGGCCAGATATCCATGATAAAGGGCCTCTGACAGGGAAGTAGCTCCCCACGTTGTTGAGGAAAACAAGGTTTAAGGGAGGCTGGAATTCGAAGATGACTTTGGAAACAGGGGCCAAGGATAAGACGCTCGGGGTATTTTTCGATCAGGTTCAAAAGATGAAAACAACAATTGTCGGAGTGCTCATCTCTCTCAAAGCCGTCGAAATTGGCGATATAATCCGTGGAAGAGTACGGAGGGGGATTGGGTGCCATAAAAAATGATGAAGCAAGGAACAGAGAAGAAACCAAGGGCTTTAGACCAAAAGAGAAGACTGGCTTAAATACGAAGATGAGGGAAGTACGAAGATGGGGGAAGTGTAAAAATCAAATCTTTTTGCGTATATACGCTTTCGCAAGATAAACAGCAATCCAGAAGATGATGATTCGCAAGATGTGTTCCATAATGACAACGCAGACGATAGGCAATCAGCACGACGTGTCGAAGTACTACAGGGTACCATGAGCTGGCCGATTGCGCGTAGAGTACGAAACGTAAGAGGGACAACATGCATGTCAGGATTACCTACAAAGGAAAAACGCACTCGATTGAAGTTCTTGACTCTTTTGAAAAAGGGACATATGTCGACACCAAAAATAATCTAGTCATCGATAAGCACATGCCTAGCATGTGAATGAGAACAAGCATGTGAACAGCACATGTGAAAAATTTATTCTGCAACTTTTTGAACCCAAAACTTGCCTTTTCCAAGCCCGGAGTCTGAAGCATTTGGTAAGTACTTTGATAGTCATTTCCAGGTGACACAAACAAATGTGAAAAATTAAACATGCAATAAGTTGTGAGGAATGATACTGGAAGAACAAATGGCTGATGATCAAGGGAGTTCAGTATAAAACTAGGTTCTATGTTTTTAACATTTAAAATTACGCCACATTATCAATAAACGCACATATTATTCTTCCAGCAATAGATTCTCATTATACCTGACTAGAGGTGCATAAGTTAGTTTTAACAGTAGACTAGCACTGGTATGAAAAATACATAGAGTGTGCTGAAAATACATAGCACAATAGGAATTGTGTCCGGCATATTGTCAGCAACGAGCGACTACTGCACAGCATAGGAAATATAACAGAGGTCAATTGTACATCCTAACCTACTGACACGCCTTAAGGTGGATTTATCTATCTAACAATTTTCTTAACTTGTGGCGCATAAAATATTGAGGATGGGAATAAAATGGGAAAACAAAACATGCTTTGTCTACATCAATTAGATACTGGGAAAAGGACATGTCAATATCTTCAGGGAAGTAACACCAGCCCTCAAGACAGTTCTGCTTCGTTAAGAACTTCCTCAGGATTACTAAACTTCCTCCAAATTTGTTATAGCATTGAAAAGTCACCCATGACAATCCACGGAAAAGACCTGAAATACTATCAGCAATATTCCACAGAAATCCCATACAACCGTCCTATCAGATAAAAAGTTAACCTAGATCTAGAAGCAATGAGTTGAAGCCTGCGATGCTGGAGGCTTATAAGTTCGGCTCTTTGGAGCGATGACTGAGACGAGCGACCGTGACACCGAGAGAGGAGCCTGTTTTACAAAAAAAACGAGTTACCCATACTGAAATATGAGTCACAAAATGGGTTTAGGAACCACTTTGCAGGCTCTAGCAAGAGTGTTAAAGTTTACAGGAAACTTAGACGAGGTCCTCCTCCTGCTACAATCAAACAAGAACGAGATTTACAAGAAACAAAAATCCAGTATCAGCTTTTTCCCCTAGTCGAAACACTAAAAGGTTCCTTAGAGGCTTGAACTACTAAATTATCAAGGCAAATCAGCAACCAATGATGTTCACATATGCGAAGATGCAATCTTACTCTATTCTAGCCCTGCATGAAGTGAACTATTTCATTTACACAGATAGTCTTTGTCGTCTTTCTACTGTACTTCAAGGAAAATTTTGACATTTTACTTTATGCATTTTGCACTAGGTCTCCTTGCTCCTATCAAACAAAAAATTCCTACATAACCAATATTCATTACATCTCGGACGAAGTCCATTCACTAGCACCACATGTAAACGACTTTGCACGTAATACTAGCAATAACAACAATGACAACTCATTCAAGGTTCATTTCCCCAGTTTTTCAACTCACTGAGAACAGAAGATAACAGCAACAATCCCACATCCGTTCTCCAGTTTCATCTCGTAAAATTACAGGTTTTTTTTCGTACTCATGATTATTATTTTTTCTTTTATGAGAAAACATGAGTATGAGTTTCTCTATAATATTGTGCTACTGCAGATATACCTTGGGGAATAGATATAGATAGGGAAAAGATCATCTTAGGTGAGGGAACAACTACAAAGTCAACTTGGTAACAACTATAGACGATATCTATTCCCTGGCTTCTTTATCATCTTTGCATCTAGCAGCTCCTAGCTCAATGCCGGCTACCCTCTCGACAAACTTGAGAGTAGCAACTGTCTGAGAATATGAATCTCTCAGGATTGATATGGACAAACATGAGTCTTTGCTTGACCACCTGAGCAAAGGAAAGATTGGAGAAGCAGTTAGCAAGAACTACAAATTAAACTTCATGTGCTGTGGGCAAAAAAAATCATTAAGAATGCTTTAGTTCCCTCATCATTATACGTTGACATACATCCATCTTCTCCCAACCCTCCCATCCACCTGGGTAGTTCTGCATGGAGGGGTGATAAAACTAAAATGCGAAACACTTGAAACATTATCTTACATAAACTAAAGTACCTAAACAACTCTGAAGAATTCTCGTCAATTTGCTATTCCAGTAAGGTACATGAGACTTCTTTTGTGCAAGTGCAAAAATAACATCTCCTAGGGCCGAGAGTGATCGATTTATATATCGAGCCTCTTTTAGCGTATCTCCTGTAGCTTTTGAACTATCCACTCTTTCACTTCCAGCAAGATCAACGAGGGAGAGACTACCATGTATTATACCATCACTTTTTCCTTGCACGTGAATGATCAAAACACTGCATGTGCACGAGTAAAAGAGGAGAACCTCATGATTAGATTTCAAGATTTAATAAAGCAAATACAGAGGCGCTAAAAATAAAAAGTGAACAACCTATGGGATCTGCTCCTTTCATTCAAAGCTGTGGCACTTACAGCCCGCTTACTTAAGCCGATCCTCATCAATTCCAGCACATCCGACGTTGATTCGACGAGAAGCAGGCACAGCTAACCCACTTGGTTGGATGATATTACAAATCCCACGCGTGCACAAGTCAAAGAAAAACCAGTGACTCTTTATTTCAGAAAAGAAAAAAATAAAGAGTGCAAACTGCAAAGAAACACATTGTCCGAGATATGATATGGACTGATAATATGAAATCATCAATAGCTAATGAAATTTAGGGAATACCAAACAAAAACATTATAGCAAAACTAGAAAGAAACCATATGGAAAGGATATCTTGTATGAAGTCCATAATTTGAAAGTAAATCACGAACTTGCTCATTATATATTTCAACCATTTGCACAACTTCATATGAAACATCCGTTCTGCTTTGTGCAATTTGAAAAAGATCATTTAGGGCCCGATAATTGACACCCCAATCCTCCCTTGATGATGCACCAGATCCACTCTGTATTAGCAGAACAATGTCTTTTAATAAATAAAAGAGCAGTCCAAATTTTGTAAAGACGAACAAAAATTCCGACGAACCATCGTATATGTTTTTCCTGATCCAGTAGGACCATAGGCAAATATACAAACATTACATCCGTTAAAAACAGACTGAATTAATGGTCCAGTGTCCGAGAAGACCTCCTCTGCAAAATAGGTATAGTTAGAGTTTACTGAAATAGCGTTGGTGCATGCAAACAGTAAACTATTCAATAGAGATGCTTTATGGAAAGACAAAAGAAACCTTGTGTTGCAGTAGGACCAAACACCTTGTTGAACTTGAACAGCCAAGTGCTGTCTCTTCCCTGCTTGGGATTTGAAATTACCAATTCGCCAATACTATTAACTGTCTTCTCTTTCGTGCTTTGACCTGGAAGGATTGGTCTAATTCTACAGTACACTCTGATATTTCCTACTCATCAAACACAAGAACAATCAAATAAACAAAAAATGAAAGGAAGAGATCGATAGAGCAAAATAAATGCAAGTACCTTTCAATTCTTGCATCTTATTGTATAGCCACCTGTTTTCTGCAAGAGCCTGCTGGTAATTTTGAGTAGCATCTGCTACTAACCCGTTCAATATTACTCCTGATCAATTCGAATGTAGATGAGAAAGTGACATGAGAAAGATTCAACGGCGGGTAACAATTATAAGCGTAGCCATACCCAAGTCACTTAGCTCCTTTAAGTGTCGTCTTCTATTCTCCAACAGTTCTTTTTTCATATATTCTGAGGCCGCTCTCAAGTCCTAGCAATCCAATGTGCTCATTGTAAACATAATGAATTATCAACGGAAGGATGGCTAACATACCTGCAAAGCATTGACTTGAAAGTCAACAAACCTTTGGAACTCCTGTTGTTGTCTCTTCCATGCGGCCTCCTCTCTCGAATCCTCTATTAGACTCTCAAGCGCCTCCACCTTCTTTTTCAATTGAATCTTATCATTCTGCATTATTAAAGCAATGATTATAGCACTTTTCAAGAATTAAAAAATTAGAAGGATTATGTAGCAAAAATTCAGAAATAAACATGAAAGACGTGCTCAATCATAGAGGAAGATGAAAAACAGGATTTGAAGATAACAATCACACCTGAAGACTCTCTAACATCTCCACACTCTCCTGTTAACCAAAGGAAATATGTGAACAGGTGATAAATGAGTCATTTGATTCAAGTAAAACGAGATGTTACAAGGAATACCCGATAACTTCAATAGCTTCCATTCTAAGCTTCTCAAGTTCATTGTCAACATCGTCTACCTGCAAACAAAGCTAGTTAAGAACTTGCCATGCCCTATATGTGAATTTCCAAATGTAATTACATGTCTAAAACTCTTGCCCAGTACCTTAGACGAAGCCTCTGAGCCCTAGTAGAGTTGCCCATCCCGAGACCTGCAATGACCACATTGGGTATGCACTCATAAACATGGCGCAGTATAGATGACAATCATATTGGCCCAATTCCTGGTCAGTAGATCATGAGTTTGCAGGAGCGATCGAGTGCAGACCCATTTCCAACGGTCCACGTCACAGGCTTATGTGGTGGGTGTCATCCTAGTCAACTTAACTCAAAGAGGGACGCGTTTCATTTGGATGAAAAATACTAAATCCTACTCTCTCATATCTCGGCTTGGAGAGAGCTTTCTGTGAAGAGAACTCAGAAAATGTGAAAGAGCATCTGCGCAGAGACGGCAGAAGGAGCTCAGAAATGTGAAAGAGCATCTCTGCAACTAGTTACAGAGGTGCTCCTTCCTGTTTCTTAGCGACCTGCTGCCCATGGAACCCCAATTTGTTCTATTTCTCTTGCGGACCGACTTTCAATCCTCTCATTTCCTTGCGACCGAATCATCTCCTGCGATTTGACGACGGCCATCGCCTCAATCACGATCTAAACTCGATCTGACATAAGAGGAAACAGACACCATGCAACAAAGTTTCTTAATTTTGTAAAGCAATCCGGCATTTTCAGTTCTAATAATGATTTGCACATCGAATTTTCGGACGTTCTGGTGCAAACAACATCAAGGGAGAGGGGAATCCGAGGATCCAATGAACCCAAAGACAGAGAATTCTCTAGATCGGTGACAGAAACTCAACTACAACGACATGCATCCCGATCAATCACGTGCAGCCAAGAGATCACGTGACGATCTGTCTTTTGGATCCAGTTATACAATTCAGAGACCAATTGTTGGTGCAATATATCCAAATTGCTTAAGGCATACTTGTTAGGACGTTTGAATATATTGCACCAACTATTGGTCTCTGAATTGTTTATCTGGATCGAAAAGACAGATCGTCGCGTGATCTCTTGGCTGCACGTGATTGATCGGGATGCATGTCGTTGTAGTTGAGTTTCTGTCACCGATCTAGAGAATTCTCTGTCTTTGGGTTCATTGGATCCTCGGATTCCCCTCTCCCTCGATGTTGTTTGCACCAGAACGTCCGAAAATTCGATGTGCAAATCATTATTAGAACTGAAAATGCCGGATTGCTTTACGAAATTAAGAAACTTTGTTGCATGGTGTCTGTTTCCTCTTATGTCAGATCGAGTTTAGATCGTGATTGAGGCGATGGCCGTCGTCAAATCGCAGGAGATGATTCGGTCGCAAGGAAATGAGAGGATTGAAAGTCGGTCCGCAAGAGAAATAGAACAAATTGGGGTTCCATGGGCAGCAGGTCGCTAAGAAACAGGAAGGAGCACCTCTGTAACTAGTTGCAGAGATGCTCTTTCACATTTCTGAGCTCCCTCTGCCATCTCTGCACAGATCCTCTTTCCAATTTTCTGAGTTCTCTTCACAAAAAGCTCTCTCCAAGCCGAGATATGAGAGAGTAGGATTTAGTATTTTTCATCCAAATGAAACGCGTCACTCTTTGAGTTAAGTTGACTAGGATGACACCCACCACATAAGCCTGTGACATGGACCGTTGGAAATGGGTCTGCACTCGATCGCTCCTGCAAACTCATGATCTACTGACCAGGAATTGGGCCAATATGATTGTCATCTGTACTGCGCCATGTTTATGAGTGCATACCCAATGTGGGCATTGCAGGTCTCGGGATGGGCAACTCTACTTCTCTGGAGAAGAAGGGCTCAGAGGCTTCGTCTTCGTCTAAGGTACTGGGCAAGAGTTTGACATGTAATTACATTTGGAAATTCACATATAGGGCATGGCAAGTTCTTAACTAGCTTTGTTTGCAGGTAGACGATGTTGACATTGAACTTGAGAAGCTCAGAACGGAAGTTATCGGGGTATTCCTTGTAACATCTCGTTTTACTTGAATCAAATGACTCATTTATCACCTGTTCACATATTTCCTTTGTATACTTTGGTTAACAGGAGAGTGTGGAGATGTTAGAGAGTCTTCAGGTGTGATTGTTATCTTCAAATCCTATTTTTCATCTTCCTCTATGATTGAGCACGTCTTTCATGTTTATTTCTGAACTTTTGCTACATAATCCTTCCAATTTTTTAATTCTTGAAAAGTGCTATAATCATTGCTTTAATAATGCAGAATGATAAGATTCAATTGAAAAAGAAGATGGAGGCGCTTGAGAGTCTAATAGAGGATTCGAGGGAGGAGGCCGCATGGAAGAGACAACAACAGGAGTTCCAAAGGTTTGTTGACTTTCAAGTCAATGCTTTGCAGGTATGTTAGCCATCCTTCCGTTGATAATTCATTATGTTTTACAATGAGCACATTGGATTGCTAGGACTTGAGAGCGGCCTCAGAATATATGAAAAAAGAACTGTTGGAGAATAGAAGACGACACTTAGAGGAGCTAAGTGACTTGGGTATGGCTACGCTTATAATTGTTACTCGCCGTTGAATCTTTCTCATCTACATTCGAATTGATCAGGAGTAATATTGAACGGGTTAGCAGCAGATGCTATTCAAAATTACCAGCAAGCTCTTGCAGAAAACAAGTGGCTGTACAATAAGATGCAAGAATTGAAAGGTACTTGCATTTATTTTGCTCTATCGATCTCTTCCTTTCATTTTTTGTTTATTTGATTGTTCTTGTGCTTGATGAGTAAGAAATATCAGTGTACTGTAGAATTAGATCAATCCTTCCAGGTCAAAGCACGAAAGAGAAGACAGTTAATAGTATTGGCGACAATGGCGAATTGGTAATTTCAAATCCCAAGCAGGGAAGAGACAGCACTTGGCTGTTCAAGTTCAACAAGGTGTTTGGTCCTACTGCAACACAAGGTTTCTTTTGTCTTTCCATAAAGCATCTCTATTGAATAGTTTACTGTTTGCATGCACCAACGCTATTTCAGTAAACTCTAACTGCACCTATTTTGCAGAGGAGGTCTTCTCGGACACTGGACCATTAATTCAGTCTGTTTTTAACGGATGTAATGTTTGTATATTTGCCTATGGTCCTACTGGATCAGGAAAAACATATACGATGGTACGTCGGAATTTTTGTTCGTCTTTACAAAATTTGGACTGCTCTTTTATTTATTAAAAGACATTGTTCTACTAATAAATAAATAGGAAATAAAAAAAGATCCACTCTTACAATTTAATCTCTATCGAATTTGAATATCAGAATAGTGGATATAGTCATGATTCAATGGGCTAGGTCTAATTACTTTTTCTTTTGTTTGTTGGTTTCTAATTTTTAGAATAGATTTGATTGGAATAATGGAAAATAGGAATATTTGGCAATTCAAGAGACGACTTATCATTATTCATTATAATAAATATAAACAAGTGTTCCACTTTATTTTATAACTAGAATTACTATAAATCATGATAATGATAACTTATCGATAATGATAACTTATCCTAATAAAGATTATAGAGTTAGTTCCTTTTTTTATTACAAATATCAACAATATCTCTATTTTTCTACAGAGTGGATCTGGTGCATCATCAAGGGAGGATTGGAGTGTCAATTATCGGGCCCTAAATGATCTTTTTCAAATTGCACAAAGCAGAACGGATGTTTCATATGAAGTTGTGCAAATGGTTGAAATATATAATGAGCAAGTTCGTGATTTACTTTCAAATTATGGACTTCATACAAGATATCCTTTCCATATGGTTTCTTTCTAGTTTTGCTATAATGTTTTTGTTTGGTGTTCCCTAAATTTCATTAGCTATTGATGATTTCATATTATCAGTCCATATCATATCTTGGACAATGTGTTTCTTTACAGTTTGCACTCTTTATTTTTTTCTTTTCTGAAATAAAGTCACTGGTTTTTCTTTGACTTGTGCACGCGTGGGATTTGTAATATCATCCAACCAAGTGGGTTAGCTGTGCCTGCTTGCAGCAGGCGTCTCGTCCAATCAACGTCGGCTGTCCAATCAACGTTGGATGTGCCGGAATTGATGAGGATCGGCTTAAGTAAGCGGGCTGTAAGTGCCACAGCTTTGAATGAAAGAAGGAGCAGATCCCATAGGTTGTTCACTTTTTGTTTTTAGCGCCTCTGTATTTGCTTTATTAAACCTTGAAATCTAATCATGAGGTTCTCCTCTTTTACTCGTGCACATGCAGTGTTTTGATCATTCACGTGCAAGGAAAAAGTGATGGTATAATACATGGTAGTCTCTCCCTCGTTGATCTTGCTGGAAGTGAAAGAGTTGATAGTTCAAAAGCTACGGGAGATACGCTAAAAGAGGCTCGATATATAAATCGATCACTCTCGGCCCTAGGAGATGTTATGTTTGCACTTGCATAAAAGAAGTCTCATGTACCGTACTGGAATAGCAAATTGACGAGAATTCTTCAGAGTTCTTTAGGTACTTTAGTTTATGTAAGATAATGTTTCGAGTGTTTCGCATTTTAGTTTTATCACCCCTCCATGCAGAACTACCCAGGTGGATGGGAGGGTTGGGAGAAGATGGATGTATGTCAACGTATAATGATGAGGGAACTAAAGCATTCTTAATGATTTTTTTTGCCCACAGCACATGAAGTTTAATTTGTAGTTCTTGCTAACTGCTTCTCCAATCTTTCCTTTGCTCAGGTGGTCAAGCAAAGACTCTCATGTTTGTCCATATCAATCCTGAGAGTGATTCATATTCTCAGACAGTTGCTACTCTCAAGTTTGCCGAGAGGGTAGCCGGCATTGAGCTAGGAGCTGCTAGATGCAAAGATAATAGAGAAGCCAGGG